ATTTCTCATTTTTGAAATGAGAAAAAAAAAAAAGAGAGAGAGAGAGAGAGAGAGAGAGAGAGAGAGAGAGAGAGAGAGAGAGAGAGAGAGAGAGAGAGAGAGAGAGAGAGAGAGAGAGAACGATATTTTCTTGTGTCTGTAATTATTTTTGTGTCATTAATAAAAAATATTGAAATTTTATTATATTATCAAAATAATCCAGATTGTAGATTAAAAAAAAAAAAATCTGTCGTCACAACGTTTCACACATAAATCATTATAAATTAGCCCAGTTTCTATCGAATTTATGTCAATATATGTCTAAACTGACATAATCTAGATTGAACTTAGTTTAACATAGAGGCATTAATACAAATTTGTCCCTGCTATTTGTCTGCATTAAAATAAATCAATACAGATTACTGCCTATTTAAACCTCAAGTTTCATGAATTGATGATTTTTTGTTTGTTTTATAAAAATACTTTCTTTTTTCCTAATTAATTTTTTTTTTCTGTAATTACCTATTTATATTTAATTAATAAAATCAGTAACAATAAAGTAATAATAAATAAAAAATAAAACAAATGAATCAACAAACTAATTTTTTTTTACATAATTTAATTTAATTTGTGAAAATAACGAAATTAACAAAAATCTAATTAGCAATTGGATTTCTAGTGGAACTAAAAAATTACTTTCAATTAAGGCTCTGATTTTTCAGACTTGTGTGTATTTAAATTTTATTTTAAAATGAAGGTAATGTTGGCTAATTGGAAAAAATGTAAAAAGCAAATTTTCTCTCTCTCTCTCTTTTTTTTCTCTTTGAGAATATAAATATGGTAGAAAAGAATTTCAATTTTAACCGATGAACGTTGGAAAAGTTGAGGGTTGAGAGGAGAGGAGAGCAAAAGAGAGAGAGAGAGAGAAATTCTGACAGTCTGCCAACGCAATTAAAGCCCTGTCGTCGACTATACGACTATGTTTAATTTCGAGTACGCTAAATTCATCCCCACCAAGTTTCTTAAATACGTAATCCCGCAACTTAAGCGAATCACATTGTTCTCGTTTCGTATACAAATTGTGGAATAATTAAATTCAATTAAGAACGAATCGCTTCTGCGAAACTCGACAATATCGTTCAACCCCCTCCCCACCCCCCCTTCATCCCCCTTACCCCCTCACACAATCGAAATCACAATGAAACCACAATAGTGAGGAGAATGAGTGTCATCCGCAAAGCAGCAGCTGGATTTGAACAATTAACAAACTCCTGAGCAATAATAATTGAATAAATTTATCAATAAGGGGAGGGGGGGGGTGAAAATATTATGTAAAATCTTGACTATACATTTATACATTGATTGAAAAATGTTTATTTTAAATTAACGGAAATATTATGGCAGTACAAAATACTGGTAGTACCAACTACTAGTGGTACCAAAAATTAGCGGTATCAAAAATTAGTGCTACTAACTGATAGGGGTACCAACTATTCGTAGTAATAACTATAAATGGTACCAACTACTGATGGTACCACTAATCGTTGGTACCACTAACAGTTGGTACCACTAATAATTGGTACCCCTAATAATTGGTACCCCTAATAGTTGGTACCACTAATAAAATTAATTAGTATTAATGGTACCAACTATTAGTAATACTAACTTTAATTGGTACCAACTATTTATAAACAATTATTAATAGTACCAACTGCAGATGGTACCAATTATTAGTGGTACCAACTGTAAGTGGTACCAACAATTAGTGGTACCATCAGTAGTTGGTATCATTTATAGTTAGTACTACTAATAGTAGGTACGACTAATATTTGACATCACTAATAATTGGTACCACAAATAATATTAATTAGTATTAATGGTACCAACTATTAGTAATACTAACTTTTATTGGTACCAACTGTTTATAAACAATTATTAATAGTACCAACTGCAGATGGTACCAATTATTAGTGGTACCAACTGTTAGTGGTACCAACTGTTAGTGGTACCAACAATTAGTAGTACCATTTATAGTTAGTACTACTAATAGTTGGACGACTAATATTTGACATCCCTAATAGTTGGTACTACTAAAAATTGGTTCTATTAATAGTTCTTTATAAATAATTGTTACAAATAAAAGTTAGTATTACTAATAGTTGGTACCATTAATACCAATTAATATTATTATTGGCACCAACTTTTAGTGGTACCAACTATTAGCTGTACCAACTATTAGTGGTACCAACTATTAGCTGTACCAACTATTAGCGGTACCAACTATTAGCTGTACCAACTATTAGCGGTACCAACTATTAGTGGTACCAACTATTAGTGATGTCAAATATTATTCGTATTAACTATTAGTAATACTAACTATAAATGGTACCAACTACTGATGGTACCACTAATCGTTGGTACCACTAACAGTTGGTACCACTAATAATTGGTACCCCTAATACTTGGTACCACTAATAGTTGGTACTATTAATAGTTGTTTATAAATAGTTGGTGTCACTAATAGTATTAATTGATATTAATGGTTACCAACGGTTAGTAATACTAACTTTCAGTGGTACAAACTATCAGTGATACCAACTATTAGTGATGTTAACTATTAGTGATGGCAACTATTAGTGATAAATTATTAATAATAATTGAAGTAAAAAAGTTATAAAAATTAAATAATTCATTGAATAATACATTTCATTTTTTATAATCTTGTTGATGATATTAATAATTGATGAAAAGTTATGATAGTTATGGTTTACTTTAACAAATTGAAATCTTCGAAGATTTTCCTTTAGTTCCTATTCCATTGTTCGTATATTCCATTGTATCTATAATTGTTCGGTTATAACAATAAATAATAATTATTTTTCATTATTCCTTTGGAACTTCAATTATCTAAAGCTCTACCGTCTTTCATTATTATTATTATTTTTTTTTCGAAAGGTTTCTTTTTTTCTGTTTCTGTTTTTTTTTCTTCTTTTTTTGTAATTAAACAGAATAATTTCCATTTAATATCGAAATGTAAGAGTTGACTTTAAATTAAATTTTAATAGCGTAAAGTGTACGATGATAAGAAAATTCTCCAAGACTGAAACTGATTTAAAAATAACAAGTTTCCAGCAAAGGTAATTTCGCTCGACATTTATTTTAAAAAAGAATCTTCTATATAAGAGAACTTTTTTAAAGTTATCGACGCTTATTATAAGTTAAAAAAAAAGAAGAAGAAGAAGAAGAAGAAGACGAAGAAAAAAAAAAGAATGGAAAAAAATGACTTGAAACATTGTGAAACTTTTCTTCTTTTCCTACTTAGCTGGAGGCAATTACGCTGCATATGCAATTGTGAAACTTTTATTACAGAGAGACTTTCCATAACAACCTATTCGTTTGACAGCATAATTAGCTAGTTCTATAATTTGTTATAAAAATGTAAATTGAACCTTATGATGAAACTCTTAATTAACGAATATCAAGAATTCGCTTTGACAATTTCTTGTTTTAAATCAACATTATTCTCAGGATTTCTTTTTTTTTCTTAACCACTTGATCAATTTATATCGATTTATTTTATTAGGAAATTATAATAATTTTTTCATCAAACTGAATTATTTTTTTTTGAAAATAATTTTTAATTAAATACTAATATTTTGAATGAAAATATTAAATTTTGTCGAGTTCTACAAATTATTATTGTTTCTTTATGAAACTTTTTTAATTAAAATTTCCCTAATTAGAAAATTGTAATAATTTTCTAATTAGTGAAAATTTTTAATGAGATTTTTAATGTTTTAATATTGGAATTATTTTTAAATACCAACTTTTTTTTTCTTTCCTTTTTCCTCTCTAAAATTGTACCTCGTGAAGAATAAAATCACATTTATAAATAATTACTTTTCAAACTCAATGCAATTTTTTTTTTTTTATAAAAGTAAAGTTAATTTAATAAAGCCATATATATATTTTTTTTTTTGCTTTATTCGAAAAAATTTTTATCAAAAAAAAAAAAAAAAAATAAGGAAGAAAAAAAAATTGTTAATTAATAAGTTTTAATAACTCATGAATTATAGTTGAATGTAATTATGAACGTTTGTTATAATTTCTTATTACCAGGGAAACTAATCTCATTTCCTCATTGAGTTTCACATTTAGTTTAATGAAGACAAAATCTCATTTAACCAGTATTTGGAAAACTAATAATTACTTGACATAATTACATCGTAAAGTTATATCTCGCACTGATTCCGTATTTCTAATTTATGATTCTGTGTTAGTTTTGAATAGCATCTGCCTGAAATATTGATGAGAAGTCGCGCGCACAAACTTGGAAATCAAAGATAGCGCTACATCTCAAAATATATAGTTTATCACGTAATATTCAACCCCCCCCCCTCCCCTCTCTCTTAACATATATTTCAAATTAATTGTTATTCTCAAAAGCAATCAAGGCGCTTTCTCATTATTCTCCCATTGTTGAATTATTGACATATATAAATTGATATATGAAATTTACATTAATTTCTGATTAATTTTCTAATTAAAAATATTGACTTTTATTTTGATATAAAATTTTAATTCGAAAAAATAATATTTAATTAATTTATATCTATATATAATCTGTTTTAATTTAATTAATATAATTATATTTTTATTAATTTTATGAATAATTTATTGATTTTAATTATATTTTTTAACTCTATTAATATTTTATTGAAACAATTTTTCAATAATCAATTTTTTTTAATAAATAATTTTATTTTTTTTTTGTATTTTTAATTTTGGAATCTGAAAATTTTCTTTTATAATAATATTTTAGAAAAATAACTTTTCATCGAATTTTCTGGTTCAATTTTCTGATTTGTCGATAGCACTTTTATAGACCATCAAGTAGTTTGCGGTCTTCCATTATAGAAGCCATCATCGTTTTCTCTCTCTCTCTCTCTCTCTCTCTCTCTCTCTCTCTCTCTCTCTCTCTTTCCCTTCACACTCTCAGAAAACAATCTAAAAGCACTGACCTTGTAAGTGTACTGGTCGAACATCCTGGAGACGTCGAGATCGCCACTCAGCATCGAGTATCCAGCATCCATGCTCTCCCTCCTCTTCTTCTCACCTCCTGCAATAATTCGTTTTGTCAAATAAAAAAAAAATCACACTCACACAATTAAATTTAGCGCACAATAAAACTTAATACCGAACAAACTGATTGTTATTGCACCGACAATTCCGTCGCTCATGATACGTTTATTTATTCGCCCACTTTTTAATATTTCACTTTTTTTTTTTTTTTTAATACCTAATGATATTTTTTCTTTTATTGAAAATCGTTTTAGTCTTAAGGGAAAAGAGTATAAAATTGCCTATAATAATTTAATTAGTAAGAAAAAGAAATTTCAAAAATCGAAAAAAACGGATCAATTATCCCCCACCCGTTTTTTTTTTTTTTTTTTTATTTCCAAAATGTTTGCGACTGTGACGTTAATTTACTGCGGCGACGCGCTAACGCGCGAGCGCACCTCGTTCTTGTCGAACGAGCAATTACATCGCGGTTATACCGCTTGTCATCGAGTGGTAAACCAACCGGTGTATTCACTCGATCACGTCACGAGTCACTTTCACCAATAATTTACATCAAATTGTCCTCCAAAAATCATTGAAACAAAAAAAAAAAAAGGAAAAATTTTTTTTCGAAATTAGAAAAATATCACAATTGGAGAAAAGAAATAATAAAAAAAAAAAATGCCACAGTGAGAAAAAGGAAAAAAAAATAAAGTAGCGTTAATCAGGGATTTAAAAAAAAATGATGGAAGACACGTGGTGGACTGTCTTTGACAAAGTTACGATTAGGTTAAGTGGTATGAGAAAGAGAGAGTGAGAGAGAAAGAGAGAGCACGCGACGCGTCAGGGAATCCCCCTGAATAAAGCAGCGCTCGGTGTGAGAGGTTAGAGACGGCACGACGCGGAGATAGATTAGGGTGAGGTTGGGTCGCGAAGGTCTTTGGGTCGGTCTCGTGGTACACGGCGCGTGCTGCCGCGATAGTCGCCGTAGATGCAGTGCACCGCGAGAGCTGGATGTTGCGCTCCACCCCACCCACCCTAGCTGCCGCCGCCACCCCTCCCTCTTCAGCCTCCTTCCCCCGCGCCCTCTATACCGTCGCCACCGTCACCGACAGCCAGCCGACGCCACCAACTCACCACACGAACGTTCTCTCAAATATATATATATATATATATATATATATATATATATATATATCTACCTACCTGCAAAGGCCCCCTATCTCTCTCTTTCTATACGTTCGTGTTCGCCATATCTGTCTCCGGCACCAGACTAGGATGAGCTTCACGACCTCCACCAGGATTCGCCACAGACTGCTCTTTTCTGCGCAGAACAACACCGGTTACGCGAACGGCCCGCGTCGAATCGGCAGATACGCGGATAACATCCAAAGAAGAGAAAACCACTCGGAGAATACTCACCGCGAACTTAACGACAGGCGTCTCTTTTTTTTTTTTTTTTTTTTTTTTTTTTTTTGATAAAAGACGACGCGCCTGTCTGGTACAGCTTCCGATTTTATAGCTTCGGCTACTCGAGGATTTTTTTTTTCTGAGAAACTGAATTTTTTATATCCTGCGATATTTAAAATACGCTGATTAGGGTTTGATATTGTTTTTTTGAAAATCACAATGATAGCAGTAAATAAAATTATTGTTTATAATTAAAGATGAATCGTGTTGAAAGAAATGGAGAAAAATGTTCTATTGATAAATATTTTCATTGGAATCATCAATGAATGGTAATAGAAAGACTGTATAGGGAGAAATGGTAAATGTCTGATAGAGTGCGTTCGTGGTTAGGTGGTTGGGGTGACAGGTTGCTGACCTTAGGGTCGTGCGTTCGATTCCCAGCGCTTGGGAATTTTTCCTCTGTTCAATCAGTAGAGTAGTTCAATCAGTGGCAGTTTTAATCAATAGCAACCCAACCAGGGGTAGTTTCAATCAATAGCAGTTCAATTAAGGGTAGATTCTATCAAATGTAGTTCAATCAGTGGTAGTTTCAATCGATGGTAGTTCAATCAGAGATAGTTCCAATCAAAAGCCGTTCCAATGTATAATAATTTAATTAGTCGTAGTCCCAATTAATAGTAGTTCAATCAATGGTAGTTCCAATAAAAAGCCGTTCCAATCGATAATAATTCAATCAGTGGTAGTTCCAATCAATAGTAGTTCAGTTACTGGTAGTTCCTATCAATAGTAGTTCAATCAATAGAAGTTTCAATCAATGGTAGTTCCAATCGATAATAATTCAATTAGTGGTAGTTTCAATCAATAGTAGTTCAGTTAATGGTAGTTCCAATCAATAGTAGTTCAATCAATGGTAGTTTCAATCAATGGTAGTTTCAATAAAAAGCCGTTCCAATGGATAATAATTTAATTAGTCATAGTCCCAATTAATAGTAGTTCAATCAATGGTAGTTCCAATAAAAAGCCGTTCCAATCGATAATAATTCAATCAGTGGTAGTTCCAATCAATAGTAGTTCAGTTACTGGCAGTTTCTATCAATAGTAGTTCAATTAATAGTAGTTTCAATCAATGGTAGTTCCAATCGATAATAATTCAATTAGTGGTAGTTTCAATCATTTGTAGTTTCAATAAATGGTAGTTGCAATCAATGGTTGTTCCAGTCAATAGTAGTTCAAGTAAATGGTAGTTTGAATAAATATTAGTTCAACCAATGGTATTTTTATCAGTGATACTTTAAAGAATGGTATTTCAATCAATGATAGTTTAAATCAATATTATTTGAATCAATCGTAATTCAACCATTGGTCGTTCAATCGAAAGTAGTTCAATAAATATAATAAAAATCAATATGGTAATTAAAATTAATTGTAGTTTTAACGATTAAAAATTCTTGTTTATGGTAGTTATTATTAATAACTACACAATAAATGCGTTACTACCCTTACTATAACTGTCAGTTACAACCAAAAAAAATATCTATAGCTAAAAAGTAATCTTCTTTTTTTGAAATATGAACGAGGCATTCGTAAAAATAAAATTTCCACATTTCATTACAAAGAAACTTTAATCAGAATCTTATGAAAATTGGAATTGTTAATTTTGCAAAGTTTCGAATAAGGAAAAATAAAATAAAAAAAAAACTTTTTACTTTAGAAACTTTGTGTATGTGTATGTGTGTGTGTGGGTGTTTTAAAATATCCAACTTTTAAACAGGGATATTTTAAGCATTCAAAAACTAGAAACTTTGCAAGCTTAGAGAGTTAAAACAAAAAGCTTTTAAAATAGAATGGTTGCCTCTTCATAAAATTATAATATGATTTTATATCTTAGCCAGTGTTTGGGTTTTTAATTAGATATATACTTTTGCAAATTAAAATTTTTTTTTGTAGATTCTATTTTTTGTTTTTTTTTATATTTAATATATAGATATTGAAATAAATTGGGAACAAAATTTTGACAATATAAAAAAATATAATCAAAATTCGTTTCGACGAAGCTATTATAAACTAACAAACAACAACTATCTCCTAAATATTTAAATTAGTTGCATTATAATAACCAAGATCTCGAAGAAACTTGTAATATTATAGTATCGTTAAACAAGTGATCAACAACTATCATCATCATTATCATTTTGAATGTAAATTATTAATTGTCACACACACACACACACACACACACACACACACACATACACACACACAACGAAAACTTGGAACAAGTTTTATTAAAATGTTTCATTTCCATTTATTTAGTTAAAACATGTAAGCATCCTCTGAGGTAAATTTAAATACTGAACTACAATGTATTGAGTGGATTATTACTATAGTAATTAGTTGATTACTATTAGCTATTAATTTATTTCTACTAGCTATTAGTTTATTTCCACTATTACTATTGCTATGATTTTTTTATGAATAGAAATTGAATTACAATTACTACAATATAAAAGTACAGGATTCTTATTAATTAATTAGTCGATTTCTACCAATTAATAGTAGGTTAATAGTAGGAATTAGTGGATTACTACTAATTAATACTGGATTAAAACTAAAAACTAGGGGGTTTCTACTGGTAATTAGCCGCATTCTGCTTAGTGAGCTAATACTGCTAGTACTACCAATTTTAGTAGGAATTAGTGGATTAATACCAGTAGTTTGTGGATTATTACTAGAAATTATTAGGTTCATACTAGGAATTTGTGGATTAACACTAGTAAGTGGTGGATTATTACTAATAATAATTAGTGGATTTATACTAATGATTAGTTGATCTCTACTTAGTGTCTTACTACTAATAGAAATTAGTAGATTAATACTAGGAATTAGTTGAATAATACTAGGAATTAATGGATTAATACTAGGGATTAGTGAATTAATGCTACACGGAGAAAAAAGATTTCTTTTATAAAGTAACTTTTACTACTTTCAGAGTAAAATTGGACCAACTCGAAGTTTCTGCGCATCTCTGGCAATTTTTACTCCAAAAATAGTAAAATTTACTCTAGAAATAGTAAAACTTACTACGGAAACAGTAAAATTTACTACAGAAATAATAAATTTTACTATTTTTGGAGTAAAAATTGCCAGAGATGCGCAGAAACTTCGAGTTGGTCCAGTTTTACTCTGAAAGTAGTAAAAATTACTTTTTCTTTTTCTCCGTGTAGGAATTAGTGGATTAATACTAGGAATTAGTGGATTTCTACTAGTAATTAGTTGATCTCTACTTAGTGTACTACAACTACTAGTTATTAGTAGTTTAATACTGGTAATTAGTGGATTTATATTAGGTATTAGTTGGATGATATAATGAATTTGTGGATTACTACTAGAAGTTATATAATCTCTACTTATTTAACTAATGATAGTAATTAGTGGATTAATACTAACAATTACTGGATTACTACTATCAATTACTGGATTACTACTATCAATTACTGGATTACTACTATCAATTACTGGATTACTACTAATAATGAGTGGATTACTACTAGTAATTAGTGGATTAATACGAGCAATTACTGGATTACTACTAGCAATTACTGGATTACTACTAGTAATTCGTGGATTACTACTAATAATTACTGGATTACTACTAGTAATTCGTGGATTACTACTATCAATTACTGGATTAGTACTAGTAATTCGTGAATTACTACTAATAATTAGTGGATTACTACTAGTAATTAGTGGATTACTACTAATAATTAGTGGATTAATACGAGCAATTACTGGATTACTACTAGTAATTGATGGATTACAACTAGTAATCCATTAATTACATAATACTATTACATAATTAAATACTACTATTACATAATTCTACTAACAATTACTGAATTACTGCTAGCAATAAAAGAAATTATTTTCAGCAATTAGTGAAATACTACTAATTAAACGAAATGAAATTTAAAAAGAAATTAACATAGCTAAAAAGGAAAAAAAAAATTCTTTTTCCTTTTACATGTTATGCAGTAAAAGTGAACGTATTTCGTGCTGTAAAAACTATTAAAGTCGCTCTTGTCAGAAGAGTTGGATGGCTATTAAGTGCAACACTTGCCCTATCATTTATGCGTCCAATTGAATTTCTATTCTTGGGACGAAGTTCTATATGTGGCCGCAATGTTGGTGCTTTGGTCACTGGTATATAAACACGTGGTATCTGCACGTGGGTTTCATTCATGAATCGTAATGGTAGCAGTAGCAGTAGTAACAGCGGCAGCGATAGTAGCATAAACGTAGTAGTAGTAGTAGTATCAGGTATAGGATGTCTGGCAGACTTGTTGGAAGAGAGAGTGAGAGAGAGAGATATATATAGATAGAGCATTGTAGTGGAGCGACGTGCGGGTTTATGCGGTGGGTTTTCGCCCCGAGCCAGCAAGAGGACGCGAGGAAGCGGTATACACGACGACCGTGGGGTCAGGCGTGATATCTGGATTCTCTCTGACTCACTCTCACCAACTTTCTGTCTCTCTCTCTCTCGCTCTCTCACTAACTCTCTCTCTCTCTCTCTCTTACTCACCCCTTGAA